TTTCGCATCCGAGGTTGCTAAAGTGCTGCCAGACTCGAATTTCCTCAAAGTTCCTGAAACCTGAAATGCGAAAACATTGGCAGGGATCAAATTTCACCAAAATTCTTAAAATCCTAGCACGGGGCCATAGTTGTTCAGATTTGGGGAATTTCGGGGAAATTTGATCCCTGCCGATGTTTTCACATTTCAGGCTTCAGGACTTTTGGGGAGATTTGATTCTTGCCGATGTTTTCGCATTCGAGGCTGCCCCACGTCACACGTCCCATAATCCACTGCTTACAAAAAGCGGGTTCGGGTGGATCATGGGGGGGGGGGGGCGTGACCATATATATATATATATATACATACATAAATAAATGCATATTTTTCTATATGTATATGTATATACATACATACGACCCGCTGTCCAAAATCTTTTACTGGCAAGCAGAACGAAAATGTTCGGTGGTACGTATCTTTATGTGCGTGATTCCATATGTTTTGGCTTGGTTTTTCATGTTGCCTTGCACATTCACGAAGCGTTGGCTTCGACCCCACCAACCCGATGATGAAAAACGCTCGTTTTGCTAGGTTCTCCACGTGGCTTTGCAGCAGAATATCCTTGCTATGAACATGTTTTGCGAAGAAGTCTCCGGTGAGCTTTGAAAAAAGGGGGGTCCTTTGGTGCAGCTGCTGTGTAGTTGGCTAACATGTTTTTGGGTCACGAAAATCTTGCACGAGCCGTTTTGACGTTGTGAATCTTGGTCGCTGCTCAGTAGCGTAAACTTGCGCTCAGTTGGACTCTTACGGGCTGAATGAGATTGTCCGTCTAAAATTGGCAGTGGGTGATTGTGTTGGTTTCACTGGCATGATGCCGGCTTCCGTGGTAGTTTGTTAGAGAGTGTCAGAGTTCTTCCAAGAAAACCGAGCTTCTCCAAAGTAGGATTGGAAATGTCTGGCTTCTTGATTGGATTGCCTGCAGCGTTTGAGCCCAAGCCAGGAGAACGGGTCTGGAACATCGGAAATCAGTGATCATGGCTCGTAGGCCAATCTTGGGCCTTGCCTTTGTCCTCTTGGTTGGTGCAGCTGTGAAGGTGCCACTGTGCTGTTGAAATTCATACAGCAGCTCGAAAACTGTGGTTCGGAGTCAGTGTTCCGCAGGCTCTCTGCCCTGGTTTCGTGACGGCTCCCGCACGTGTGGCACAACAGCTCCAGCCCAAGCTCCATGTTTCGTTGAGAGTCCTGGAGGGCAACTCTGTGAAGGCCACCGGCCAGAGATGTGGCGACCGTCCAGGTTGGATTCGGGTGCCGGGCAGGGCGGACGGCTAGTGCTTTTCGCAGAGGCCGAGGAGCTGAAGCTGGAGCTTCCGAGGCCGAGACGTGAGACGAAGTGAGACGCGGTTGACGTGCTCTTTCGGTTTTTGATGTACGACGTTTGCTTTGCACCTCTCTTCAGAACGTGCCAGGCAGATGGCTGCAGAGCTGAAGCCTGCCGTGGAGAAAGTGGCGCTCTCTGCCGCTTTCGCGCTGATGGCAGAGCCGGCGCGAGTCTCACGATTTCCGAGAGACACAAGATGGGATGTATGTATGCCTGCAGCATGCATGTATGTATGGCATATGTGTATGTGTGTAACCAGTTTTAAGTTCGTACTTATATGTGTGGGTGTGTGTATACATATACATACATATACATACATATATATATATATATATACACACATACATACATACATACATACATACATACATACATACATACATACATACATACATACATACACATATACAGAGAGAGAGAGAGAGAGAG